CTTGCTGCTGGCCCCACGTACTCCCCTAAAAGCCTCTCCTTGGTTCTCAGGATTCACTCTCACCCCCCTCTCAGCTTCCTTCCCCTGCTCCCCTTCTCCCCCGACTGCGCAGCAGAGTCCCTAGGCCTGGTCCCGACCCCCATCCTCCCTACTAATCGGCACTGTCCCCTGGGCTGCTGCAGCCTCTCCAGGGGCGGGCAGCTTCCCCAAGTCTGCGCATCCCTGCTCCCAGGCCGGGCAGGCCATCTCATCCGCTGACCGACTCTGGAATGAAGCCAGCTTAGGCACACACCACATCGCCCTCCTCGAAGTCCCTCAGGCAGCCCCCGTGGAGGGGCCTGGAAGAATGTGGGAGGGGAGGGAACGTTCTATATCTTGACTGTGGTGATGGTTGCGTGGCTACATGCATTTGCCAAACTATACAGCCTCACACTAGAAAGGGTGAGCTCACTGCATGCAATTACACCTCAATTAAAAAAGCACGGAAAAAGTTCCACAGCCACCTCAACCCCTACCTGCCCAAAACTAACACCAACGCTTTTCCCCAGACCAGCTCCTCCTCCTGCACCTCTGTTTTCAGCAGTGACACAACCCCTCCCCGGCTACACACACACCCCAAAAAGCTCCTCCCCACAACCAGAAATCTCAACCAGGTGGCCAACCAGTCACAGTCTAGAAATTCTACCTGCACAGCCTTATGTCCTCTTGAATCTCTGCCTTGCGATCCACCTCCCTCACCCACCACCTGGGACTCAGGCCGCCCTCACTTCTCACAAAGCAGGTGCTCTGGGCTTCACTGGGCTCCCTCCCTGTCCGCCCTGACCTGCCCTCCACACTCTGCACACACCTGCGGGCCGTGGCGCCCCCCCGCCCCCCGCCCTCCACGGCACTGCCCGCCTGGCGGGCCAGGCCTTTGCCCCCCGCCGCCCCCCGCTGGGGCCTCCCGCTGGGGCCTCGGCGCCCGGAGCTCTTCCCTCCCAGGAAACCCTCACTCATCCCTCAGGCTCCAGCACCGGGGCCTCCCAGGACAGGAAGCTGCTTTTCCAGCCCCTTTCCATCAAAATCAGCGCGCAGTCCACCTGGGCTCTCACAGCGGCCAACCTAAAGGACCCTGTGCAGGCCGCCCTACAATCTCCCCGTCTCCGGGGCCAGCGGGGCACTTGCCAGGGCAGGAAGCTGCCTCCCCCTCTCCCAGGGCCCTCCAGGCTGGAGCTGCACCGGTGAGCAAGTGGTGGATGCTCAGGGAACACTCTGACCTGAACTGAACGGACGGCTGGAAATGACCAGGAGGGCTACGCCAAGCCGTCCTGACACAGAAGCACAGCTGGCAGTGGCGCTGCTCAGGCCGACAGGAACTCCTGCGGGAGGTCGCACAGGCCGCTTCTCCCCAGTCTGCTCCCCAGCCCGCGGCTGGCACGGCTCCTCTCGCCCTCCCTGCCCTCCAGCCAGACTGCACTCCGCCCCACCCCCCGTGCCTCTCTGTTCAGAGAGACTCTGCCTGGACCAGTGCTACTCAGAGCAGTCCTTGGACTGGTATTGCCATCCTCAATAACAGGAATAAGCATTTAGGAACTTCTATAGGCATTTAGCATTGCCATAAAGTTTTTTCTGCATTTTCCAAAGCACTGGTCTGGAACAAATGGGGATGAGAATAAAACCTGCCCCTTCACCACAGAGAATCTGGGAAGCACTGTTCCCTCGCTCCCAACCCCCCAAACTCTTGCCTCTTCCTGCTGGAATCCCACTCATTCTCAGGGGCCCAACTAACTACCGTGCCTTTTCTTCCAAGAAGCCTTCACAGCCTCCGTCAGCTGGAAGTGTCTGACCCAAAGTCCCTGTCCACACCACAGGGAGGGGACCCCTTACTAAAACCCCGAGGCCGGGGACCCACGTGTTGCTCATTGTTACATTTCCAATGCCATGTTCAGGCAGGTGTTTGTTCAACGAGGAGTAAATGACCAGATCCCCAATTTCAGAGTTGGCTTTTCTTTAGGGGCAGGATGTGGAGGCGCACAGACCCTTATGGCACAAAGGGGTTTCCTGGGTGTGGACTTCTCCCCATCTCCCTCAGCCTATGTGGGAATAGGAGGATATGAAACAAAGCACGTCAGGGGCTCTCAGGACAAGAGCTCAGTCACTATCAACTACAAAAGATTCTACAATACCCTGAAATGGCAATTTGAGTGAAAGCACCACATGCACACGCTAAAAATAAATCACACCTAAGTATAGAGAATAAAGAGATTTTCAGGGTCATTTTCGACTTTCAATATCCTGTGGACCCTGACCTCAAAAGTAAGGGTCAAGGGCTCAGGAGCCTGGGATCACACAGCGCACGGCACACTTGTGAGCAGACCAATGCATATCCACTCAGGTTTGCAAAGCGCAGAGGGGTGCCCCCTCTTGGACCCCACCTAGACGCATCTCACGCAGCACCAGCAGCCCTCCCCTCCCACAGCTGCATCTCCAGAAGGAGCAGGACCTTGCACCCCCACGCCCACCGGCTCTCCCCCGTTCCCTGGCTGCTGTTTAGCAGGAATGCTGGAACTATTTCCAGATGCCACTGTCAGATCAAGACAACTCTCTATCTAAATATTCCTGTCTAATTTTGCACACAGCTCTTGTTTCAACTGACAAAGATAATGACGCAGCGTCCGTGGCTCTTGATGGAAAATTATCCTGCCAAGTTTGGACCTTCCCAATAATAGACTTCTGTAAACTTCTTTTTGAGAAAGGAGAAGTGACCTCCCCGTCCCGATTCTTTTCTACAGGCAACAAAGGGCACCCAAAAGACCCCCTAACTAACCAAGGAATGCTATGGAAAAATCCTGATCCATCCCCCACAGGATTAACAAGAAAGGGAAATTCATGGTAGGCACTTGGAATGTTTTTCCCTGCCCTGTACAATAATCACTGTTTTTCAGTTCTTCTACACCCCACGCATTTAGGACTTAGAAGTTTGGGGCATAAATTCTGGGTCATACTGAAGGCAAAATCTAGACTTGGGATTAAAGCACCTTTCTCTGCACAAAAAGAAATCACTCATGGTCTGACATTGGTGCTTCGATCAATTGTAACAGAAGTACACAAAATACCCACGTGTCCACACTGTGCCGCTGCACTCCGGGGCAGCCTCTCCCATGGAGGGGCACACTGGGCACGTAAAGAGACCTATGTGTCTGTCTGAAATGCAGCCAGACACCCACTCCCTGCACATGCTGGCCTGACCCCCTCCTGTGCCACAAGACACAAAGGATGTCTCCCCCACGAGCCAGGAGGAGGAAAGCGTCACCTTGGAAAAGCCACCTGTGGATAATTGAGTTGGCCTTTCTGCCAGCATTCAGACAGCTCAAACTTGTTTGCTCAACATTTAAAAACTGCCCCATGGTTATTTCATATGTATATCCCCGCAGTCTTGCAAAATCCCCAAAGATAGAAACCACCAGTTTTCCACTTTTTTTTGCACTTGGGGCCTGGCCAGTCACTGCCGTGCATGCAGCAGGCACCAAAAACACCCAGGGGTTTCTACCTTCCTTTTCTCTCCCGTTCCCCCAGGTGCAGAAGTGGGGTCTCCTTTAAAGCCCGATCTCCATGGTTTAGGGAAGGGGGACACAACACCACCGGGTTCCTAAGCTCTCAACCGCTCATGGCGAGTCTCAGGAGGCCTCAGCAATGCCTGGGAACACTGTTTGAGAGTCTTACCTCAGTGGTCCTCAGCCAAGCGCAATTTTGCCCTCTAGGAGATATTTGCGGATGTCATGACGGGTGTGACAGGGACTACTGGCATCTAACAGACACAGGCTGGGACTGCTGCTACATATCCTATAGTGCACAGGTCAGCCTCCCCATAACAAAGAATTATCGGGTCAAAAATGTCGGTAGTTTGGAGGATGAGAAACCCCGGTCTTAGGTGACATACAGGGAAGTGCTCATAGCGCCTCATTTGCTCTTCCTTTGAATTGCCTGAGGCCACGCCAAGAATTATAACAATGCTGCATCGTCTTCATTATTTGTAAGGCTGAGCAGAGTGCCCCAAACCGCTGCCAGGGTCTTAAAGCTGCTGCTCCCCTGAACTGCCAGCACCGCTTGGCCTCTTCTCAGGAGCAGAGCCCTCCTACCACGTCGACCCACCCATCTGCACAGTGACAACTGGCAGGCTGGCATCGGTGCATACTCAAATCCTTTGGCACCAAGGTAGGCCTGGCATGCCCAGCTCTTCAGCCGGGGCCGAGGGAGCGGCGAGGGTGGACAAGTTTCTCAGCCAGCTGCACAGGAGTCTCCCACCCTCCCGGACGCTGACATCGCTTACCCAAACGGGCAGTCCCAGCATCCAGTCCTCCCCTGCGGTCCTGCCCGCCCCACGCCCCCAAGGCACCACGGAGAACTGGCCTGGGAGTGGGGCGGGGGGGAGGTGGCTAGAGAAAGGCACGAATTTAGGCAATTAAGCCCAAACCACTCACAAGGCCCCCACTGTGTCGAGAAGCAGGAGGAAGGACCACAAGGGCCCCTTTTCCCCAAGTCGCCCCAAACCCCCACCTGTGAAACCCAACCGCAGGCTCCGGTCAAAAGAAAAGTTCTAACACAAATCTGCAGCCAAGAGCAATCAGAGCCGCTGAAACAGTGCAAAGCGATCTGGGAATGAAGAGGAATATCAGGAGAAAGCGAGGCACGAAAGCTGTCTTGGCGACTAAGAGACGCAGCGTCTGACAGCCGCTCACGGAGGTTGCTCGGCGCTTTCCGAGAACCCAGGGCTTTCGCTGCGGATCTCGTCCCCTCCCGGCGGCAGGCCCGGCGGGCTGAGGAGGGCACGTGGGTAAGCGACATCTGCAGGCCCCCCACCCTGCATCCGAGCTGCGATCCGGAGCTCGCGGCCAGTTAAAGTCGCAAAGGGGAAGCCGCGCTGTCATTTGAGGAGGATGCAAGAAAGGCCCAGGTGGGTCACAGCCCAGCTCTGCCCGCAGGCAGACGGTGCCCCGGCACGCGGTGGGCTGCAGCCTTACCCGGGGGCCGGAAGCTGGGCCTCGGTCACCTTCGCGCTGCCTCCGCGCGATCGCCGCAGAGCCGGCGACTCACACGCGATCGAGATCTGTTTACCAACTCGCCCGCGCTCGGAGACCCAGCGCCTGCTGCCCCGGGCCGCCCCGCCCTACGGGCTGCTCCCATTGGCTGCGCCGCGGTCTCTGGCCTAACGCCGCGCGTGGCGAAGAAGCGTGCTCATCGCTGCCCTCGGCCCGCGGCCAATCGGAATCGAGGGAGGACAGAGAGTAGCCAATGGCAGGCTCCTCCAGCGCCAGGGCCCTTCCCTTCTTCTCCCCGCTGCCCTTTCCCCTAGTTGGGACAGTTCGGGCTCCAGGCCCGGCTGTGGGGACGGTGGGCCTGCACGCTTGCGGTCGAGAACGGGCCCTTCCTCGGCGGCGAAGCCACGGACGAGGTTGAGATGGCCAGCCTTTTGCCGTCATCTCCTTGCGGCTGCTCGCCGGGCCTCGGAGCGGGCCTGGAAAGGAGGCGGCGGAAAGAAAGGACGGGACTGCGGCGTGCGCGACAGGAGGATCGAGCTACGCCTGCCTTGTGCGCGCCTTAGTGTGTCACCAGGGCCCTTCCCAGTTTATCCTCCGGCCGCTTCCTGAAGGGGAAAGCGCTTCGGCGTCCTGGCCCCGCCTACTTGTCCTTCTCCCCAGGCTAACAGTGTTGGCTCTGTGCAGGCAGGCGCCATCCCCCACACAGGAAGCCCGTGGGTCCGAGGCGTGCCGCCCGCGCCCCCAAGTTGGGGCTCCGAGGAGGTGGCCCGCAAAGCGTGCGGCTCCCGGCTGGGCTCGGACAACCCGAGTTGTGTGTCCTTGCCTGCTACGTCTTCTCGCTGAGGTTCCTGCCGGGAGACAGGCCAGCACGTGGAGGGAACGGAACCGCGCGCGGCCCACTTGGTCCCCGGCGGTGAGAAGCCCGCTGGGGCCCAGAATCACCCTGGAGGCACTGCCTCCCTCCGCCAACGTTCCTGCCAAATCATTCCTCTCTTTGACCAGAGAATTCAGATCCGAGCCGGGGTGTGCCTGGCAATCTCCCTTCAGGTGATTCCCAAAGGCTGGTCTGCAGCTCTGTCCAAGGTTGTTAGTGGAATGTGCAGGGGAAAAAATAATAACAATTTAATGAGTTTTTCATAACTCACTAAATTCTTTTGCTATTTTCATAAAGCCATTCAAGCCGAAGGATTGTCCTGGCTTCTAAGACTATTTTTTGAAATTAACAATTTTTGGAAACTCCTTTATTTTAATATTAGAAAAATTAAAAGTCGTTTTACGTTGATGCCTGACCTGGGGTGAGGTAGGAGTTTAATGTACAGGCATACCTCCCAGATACAGTGGTTCACTTCCATACCACTGAAATTAAGCAAATACCAAAATAAAACAAGTCGTGAATTTTTTTGTTTCTAAGTGCATATAAAAGTTATGCTTATACTATATAGGAGTCTTAAGTTACCTCCTCCACTTAAGCCTTGAATTTCTCAGTTGTCTATATGGATTGGAATCAACTTCCAAATGCCTGTTAACATTGATACTTTGACCTCTTCCCATGAATCATGATTTTTTTTTTTTTTTTTTTTTTTGGAGAGGGGAAAGGAGGGAGAAGGAGAGAAACATCAATGTGTGGTTGCCCCTCGCGTGCCCCCTACCGGGGACCTGGCCCGCAACCCAGGCATGTGCCCTGACTGGGAATCAACCAGCAACCCTTTGGTTCACAGGCCAACGCTCAGTGCACTGAGCCACACCAGCCAGGGCTAATCATGAATGTCCTTAACAGCATCTAGAACGGTGAATCCTTTCCAGGAGATTTTCAATTCGGTCAACACACAGTTGCCCCAAACCTTCAATTTTTTAAAAAAACACGGTATCTGCAAAGCACAATGAAATGCCTATGCCTGTACTGCTTTGGGTACACGAAGTTCCCATGACACCTTCACAAACCACTGCGAGGGAAATTCTGGACTAGGTAATCACTGGGGTCCCCCTCCCCTAAAACTTTCTCGTATTTAAAAAAATTTTTTTGAACATTTTAATAGATTTTCCTCTTTCTTTAGGTAATATGGATAAATTCACATGATGGAAAAAAAATCTTTTAAATAGTTTTGCAGTGAAAACTCTTCCCCTACTTCGTCCCTCTCCTATCCAATCCCAACCCCAATCCCCCCAAACCCTCCTACACAACTGTAACCACTGTTACTAACTTTATTGTCTCTTTACAAAGTTTCTTTATACACACATAGGCGAATACAAACACATACCCACATTTTATAGAAATGGTCATTCCATACACTTTGTTCTGTTTTTTCATTTAATGACATAGCTTGGAGCTCCTTTCCAAATTTGCACATAGAGAGTCTTCATTCTTTTTTTCACTATTACGTCATGTGGACGAACCATAATTTATTTAACCAGTCTTCTATCGATGGTCATGAGGACTGTTTCGATTCTTTTGCTATTTCAAACACTGCCACGGTGAATAATCCTGTTTGTTTTCAAAACATGATTAATTGGGAACTTCGCAGGGCTGGGCCGGTGCCGAGAGAGAACAGTGCAGCGCAGAGCCCACAAGTGTCCTTGCTGTGCTCAGAGGCCTGACACGCATGACTCACTGGCTCCAGGATTTGTCACACACCCCCAAGCCCCCAATGGGAAAAACAGATCATTTCTAGAGCACCAGGCATGCATCGCTGAAGGCCACAAATTGAGGAGGTCACTAGACTTGGGGAAAATCCAACCCAGTTCTGCTAAGAGAATGACTTCAAAGAATTCCCTAGCCTGTTCAGCTAAGATGAGACTAATCATTGTAATTAGCTGGATGCACAGTTAGAAGTGATTAAGCACATTACAGAAGAGGCTCAGCTCCCTACCACTGGAAACATCCCCACTCAGCCCATTAACAGCATCTGCTTCTTTGCTCTCCTTAGCATATGCTTGCAGCATGTGTCTGTCTGCTCATTAGGGTATTGCTTTCCATTTTCAGATTAAGTTCTTTTCAACATACTGTACCATATAGAAATTAGCCAAGTAAGCCAAATCATTGGCTTAATTTTTCTAGTTTTCAATTGAGATATAATTTATATGCAGTAAAATGCATAGATCTTAAGAATATTAATTCAGGTCATAAGTTTTTGCAAATAAATAATCATGTAACCAACACCCCAATTAAAATACAGAACAATTTTTTCCTCTCCAAAGTTCCTTCACGCCCCACTTTCTAATCACCCCCACCACCTCGCCTCAGGCAACAATTCTGATTCCAGATTGATTTTATCAAGGAGAAATAACTGATTGCGTGACATGAATTGGGATTCAGCACTCTCTAGATTGAAAATTAGTATTTAATTCATTCTCTTAGCCTTAAATTATCAGGTGTGTGTGGGACATCATCCCAGTTACTGAATACATATTTTACTTTGTTCTCCCTCAGACTGCCACCGTATAATTTTTTTATGCACTTAAATTTATGAGTAGTTTCCATGTTCGGGCCCCAGGTCTATAAATTAAAGAAGCAACAAGCATACTGGAAGCTGGAAACCCTGGGCTGAGCATATCTGTACGTTAATCTGTTGCACCACTTCCTTCTGAGATATCCAGACACAGGGTTAAGGGAATATACGAAGTTGTAAAGGGGAGGAGCTTTAGAAGGCATAGGAGCTGTAATCAATGCAGGTAGAATTGCTGCAAGGAAAAGAATTTTACTTAATGAGGATGGACTAAAGGCACACGCCAGACTCCATTTTCCCAGCGATCAAGCAGGTTAAAAGTCAATGTGAACGTTCAACAAGAGTACAGGGGGGCGTGGCTCCTTTGGATGAAACAAGCAATTTCTGGAAGAGACTGAGGCGCATCCTAACCAGTGCATTGGGAATGTGGCATCGTAATGGGCATCGTGGGATCACACACGAGCACCTACGCATGCAATGCACAAACACATGACTTGAATCTTACTAGGGAGAGGGGGAAAAACACACACATCTTCAATCAGTTTCTAGGGTGGTTGTAACACCTATTTTACAAAATTACACACTTTAAAGCTTTTGATAACAATGACCATGACATGGAACTGATGCCTTTTGATAACTTTTCATTGACTTCTGTATTAAAAATAATCGTGCAATTTTAACCCAAATTCTTAAGAATATCTCACTTGAGCAACTATAATCATCATAATTTTTTCCTTTTAAGAAATTAATATAAGACTAGACTTTAGGTGGGTAAAGTTGGTTGCACCCCTGAACTTTCTTCAATTTTATCCCAATAAATTTAATTTAAAAATTAACACATAGTTTGTGACCCTTTGAATAATACTTGAAGTAATAAAGTCAACTTTTACTTTAATGTGAACTTTGTATTTTCAACGTTTTCCTTAGAAGGTGAAATGGGGTTCTAATAAACAGAAGGCAACATTGACTTTTTCTTGACTGGTTCTATGCCTTCACCTCCCTAACAACTTCACTTTCAGATTTTCCAGCCCACTTGTTTACTAGCTTTCTTGGAAAACATCCCCAAGTCTCATCTCCAGGGACCTGGCTCCTTGTGAGCTGAGACTTCATCCTGTGCCTCTTTCATCATCCATGCCCTCCCCACGCCACGTGGAATCCCAGAACTTCTCAAGAGCTGACGGACAGAGCATGGAAATTTCTACGGCAGCTGCTCAGCCCAGCCCCCCCAACCTGGGACCTGGCCTCCAAGTCCCACGAGTCCAAGGACACTGAGCCTGGCTCTGGGTCAGGCCCTAGGTCTATTTATGACTCTTTATCTCAGGGTTTGCGCCTTGGCACTTTGCACTCAGGGAACCTTCTCCCCTCCTCACCAGTCCACACTCGTGTCCTTATCTGGAAAAGAGAAGAACAGTGGGTCAGATAAACTTGTTTGTTTTTTTTTATGGCTGCCTGGATGGCCCCCATGTCTCCTCACCTTTGGTTGGTTCTTCTTTGTTTGGGTCCTACATGCTTAGATGAGAAAAAGCAAACCTTACATTCAGATAAAAAATCTTTATGACCACCAATAAGCTTATTGTTACTCACGTGTTTCTCCTTAGGAGGGAAAATTTATCTCCCAAGGGGGCAGGAACCTTTTCCTTACTCCCGCCATATATGCCCCTGCGCTCAGCTCACTGGCAGAAC